ATGTATGTATGTATGTATGTATGTATGTATGTATGTATGTATGTATGTATGTATGTATGTATGTATGTATGTATGTATGTATGTATGTATGTATGCATGCATGCATGCATGTCTGTGTGTGTGTGTGTAAAATTTGAAGTCAAAGCCAAAATTTAAAAATGAAGAAAAGTCAAACTGAGAAGAAAGTTTTAGGATGGAGGGAGTACTATTAAACTATTGTTCAATTAAATAAATTTGTTCTGATTAAAATAAATTATTATTGAGCTTTGAAGATATTTGATATCCAAAATCATGACTGTGGATAAGCGTTGTAAAGATAAATCTAAAATACAGACTATATTGGTGGTCTTGATTAAAGACCAGAGTACAGACTCAAACCAAGACTTAATAAAAAATGTTGATTTGGACTCTTAAGATGATTTGTTGAAATAAATCATGAGATTAAATGATATGAATTGAATATGATTAATTTGGACTTTTGAATAAAAGATTAATTAAATCAATTTTGATTCTGTCAAAGTCAAACACCCAAAAAAGGTGTCAGAAAAAGTATTACTAATAACTATAAAAAATATACGGTTGTGTAGAGTTTCACTGTCTGATCGCAACGGTACAGTCAGAATTTAATTCACAGAAAGTTGCAGCAAAAAGCGTATCCCGACTTAGATCAAATTAGTCCCAATTAGGGAAGATGTGTACAAACGACGCCACCTCCTCCACAATGCACTTTGCGATCGGGCAATGACTTAGAACCATGTCTTCTTCTTCACCTTCTCCACTACATAAGCATACCACAAGTCCCTCCATTCTTCACCAATCTTTTCCTTTCTTTCTCCTATTTTGTTCCTGAGAGTGAGAGAAGTGCATAGGTGCTGTCCACATGGTGAGAGTTGTCAAAGCTGGTGATAATCCTCGCCGGAAGTTTCATCAAAATTTTTTCAAAATCTCCAATTTAGCCTGAGGTGATGTTAGGGGCGAACCGGGGGTCTTATCAAGTTGGAAAGTTAATGGGGAATTGGTAAAGGAAATGAATGGGCAGTGTTATAGGCCGAGTTGGTGAGGGATGAAAAGGGGAGGTATGGGTGTTCTCTTGGCTTGAGAATGCAAAGGAAAATGCAGGGGATATGTTGGAAGAGGCCTGGGTGAAATGGTGATATATGCAAGAGGGGTTTTTTTTTGGTATTTTTGGATGAAAGAAAAGAATTAGGTTTAAGAAGAAGAAATGGAGAGATATGAAATGGGAAGAGGTAAAATGAAGGGATAAACCAAGTTGGTGTTTAAGAGATATTACACATTCTTATCTTAACTTGGGGTTAAGTCTAGAACTTAATTAAGATATAACACACTTAATTAAATATCTAGAACCTAAAACTCACACTTAAGATAACCACTCTTAAGATATAGATTTAGGAATTTAAATAGCAAACACAACAAGTGTATTACTAAATGGAAAATGGAATTACAATCTGAGTCTCACAAAATGGCCTAAGGCCGAAATAAATACACACACATAGGGGGGAAACTTCCCAGAAACATCCACTCACAAATCACAAGAATAATATCCATTTGTTTATGTTTTCTTAATGGAATGAAATCAGGGATTTGGTCTTTGATTTTCATGGCTGGTGGCTTGTCCTTTAGTGAGGAAAATCACAAGGAAATAAGTGATGATTCTTGGGAAATAATGGGGGACAAAGGGGATGGGTGATGGTTGGTTTTATTGGCCTTATATTGGGTCATTCATGGAAGGTATGTAGGGACTGATTTGGTGGGTGGAGTGTCAATAAACTCACAAAAGTCTTTTGTCCTTTTGTTATTATTTATTCAGCCTAGGTGGGAGACACAAGGGGGACAATGGTTGGTCAATGTTGGGGAATAAAAGAGGGGTTGTTTTTGGTCATTAAAAGGGGACATGGCTGGGTATTATTTGTGGGTATTTTGGAGTTATGGCTTTGGGTTATTGTGAGGGAAAACATGGGCAGGAAGTAGGGGCTGGAGGTGGGTCATGGTTTTGGCTCTTTGTGGGTGTTTGTGTTGGGATTGTGAGGTTTATTTGGGCAGGGAATGAAAGGAAGGAAGAGAGGATTTTACTGGTTTATTAAAAGACTTAAAAGAAGGAAAATAACAACAAACAAAAAGGTTTTGGTTTACACACTCTTATTTTTGGCCATGGCTAAAATAAGCAGAAAACTGCTCTTGGGTACCCTATATTTTGAGAAACTAACTGCGGGGTACCTCATATTTTCAAAATATACTCCGAGGTACCTTCTATTTTGAGAAACTAACTATCGGATACCTCACATTTTTAAAATATACTCCGAGGTACCCTCTATTTTGAGAAACTAACTATCGGGTACCTCACATTTTTAAAATATACTCCAGGATATCTCCAAATATATATTAATTTTACGCCATTAATTTTAAGAAATAGGGGTTTGGAATTCCAAACCATTAATTTTACTTTTAAAATTCCAAACCCCTATTTCTTAAAATTAATGGCGTAAAATTAATGTATATTTGGAGGTATCCTGGAATATATTTTAAAAATGTGAGGTACTCGATAGTTAATTTCTCAAAATAGAGGGTACCTCGGAGTATATTTTAAAAATGTGAGGTACCGATAGTTAGTTTCTCAAAATAGAAGGTACCTCGGAGTATATTTTGAAAATATGAGGTACCCGGCAGTTAGTTTCTCAAAATATAGGGTACCCAAGAGCAGTTTTCTGTAAAATAAGAGTAGGAAAAACTTTATTTTGAAAAGGAAATATTTTGGATGTTTAGGGTGGATTTGGACATGGTTGGGGTGGCCAAGGGGGTTTGAAAACAACAAGGGTGTTGGTTGGTGTTCTTGAATGGAAGAAAGGACTTAAATCAACCCAATAAGGATTATAACACTTAGCCATAAATCCCTTGATTTGTTTGAACACTTGTGGCACGTCCATGAGTCTGGGTAGGGCATGCCCGGATATAACAGGTAAGCCCTTAGATATATTTAGTGATTAGAATGTTCACATATATCGTCTCTATGTTCATAAACAGTTGTTTAGTTGAGTTTTGAGTTTGACATGCTTGAAGAACAAACAATCATAAACCTTAAAATTATTGTTAAAACATCAATTTAATGATACCAAAATGATCTATGAGCTTTGGAGAACATTTCTATATAATTTAATTGAAGTTTGATGGCTAAAAATGAAGTTTTTAAAAATTGGCCCGAGATTGAAGACGACACTATTCAAACCTCGTGCAGGTACAATATCGAACTATCGCCAGACAGTGACAATGTACAGCCGGAATGGTAGGCCATACCGTCGGTGACCGTATCTAACTACCATCTCAACCAAGTTTCTCTGGCGGTACCAAGTACCAACCACCAGGCGGTACCCCATATAATCTGAACGGTACTGAGGTAGGTGCCGTAACGGGTACTGTCTGATTAAGGAATTTTTCCACAAACCTGATAAATTTGAACTATAAAATTCTATTCCCTCCGTCCCACTGTCTTTGTCCACTTACCTTTTGGCACACCATCCAATGCACTTTTTTAATCCGTTTTATCTTGTAATTTGTATATTAAAAAATTATAAAAATTATATATTAATAATCTATATGTTAAGACGAATCAAACAAAATCACACATGACTATTTTTAAGCTTACACATTGAGAGAATTTGATGAGTCAAAGTGCTTAGATGAACAGTTCCAAAAGTCAAAAGTGGACAAAGACAATGGGACGGAGGTAGTATTTTTGATACCATGCAACTAAAAATCAGTATGAATATCATTTCCAAACCAAAAATTATGTTTTAATAAATTTAAAAACCTTATTTGATGCATGACGGTAAGCTAGGGTGTTAACACTCGATGCTAGGCCGCTATTTGTTAGTAAATACTATGATAATGATTATTATTAATTATTGATTGTGATAATCGAACCATGATAAAATAAACAATTGTTTGATCAAATGATGATGATAAGCAATCAACGTTACATAGAACTCTAACATAAATCTCATGTGACTTAGTTAATTTGGGCCTAACGAGTATAAAGTCTGGTGGCCTGGGTAAAAACTTTGTGATTATGATTTGTTAAGCTTTTGCAATATTGAAAACTCCGTACTATTTATATTATGAAAAATTATTACTATGATAAATAAAAATGTTTGAAATGTTTTAAATTTTTAAGATTACCAAGTTAATACGTTAATCTGAAAGGAACTGCAGACTTGGACGGATTAAGATGTTACAGGAAGTGCATGAATTAGAGTGATGATGGTGATGATTTTTAGGTGAAGGAATGGGTGAGAGGGTCGAATGAACCACATGGGAATTAGGGTGGAGTTTCCAAGGTTGTTTCGTAAATAAAAACTGACTTGAACGGTACACGCTTTTCCCCCCAAACTATTTTGTATCAAAAACCGTTTGTGTTTCTGGAATCAGACAGTCAAAACTAGTATTATGATGTGATCAAATAATTTTTCTGAAGACTTTATATTTTTCCCAACTCCGATTTGTATTAATAATTAATTAATGAAATTATTCAATTCTAATAGGCTAGATTTTGGGGTGTTACAAGAAATATTACGGTGATATTCACAATATTTCACTCCTTCGGCCACCGCATAGGTCTCCACTCAAATCTCTATTTGCTCCCACACGTGCCCCTAAAGAGTAGACCCTCGCCGCCGACACCTTAGGGCCGACGGTGTATTCCTTCTTCTTCCTCTTCTTCGTAGCTTATTATTATTATTATTATTATTGTTATTATTGTTGTTGTTATTATTATTATTATTATTATTATTTTTTTATTTATTTATTATTATTATTATTATTATTATTATTTGAAGAAAAATGAAAAAGAGTGAAAGAAAGGAAAGAAAAGGAGATTAAAGAGAGGAAGAAGGAACGGCTGGAAGAGGAGATGGGGAAAAGGGGTGGCGGAGAAAAAAGGAGGAAGGGGAAGAGAAAAAAAAGAAAGGAAGAAAAGAAAGAAATGGAGGGTAATTTATGAAAAGTAGAGAAAAAAAGGTAGAATGGGAACATCATTCCCGGACGAAAAAAAGAGTAGAACGGGAACATCATTTCCGGACGGAGGGAGTACAAGTTTTTAAGACATCACATAGTTATTTTATATTTTTTTCAAAAGTGATGCATATTTTATTTTCTCTTATTCATTACATTGTTTAACATATCTAGAAGGAATTAAAAAATCAATATAAATATTCTATGAGGTTTTATATATGTGTTTTGATATTTTATTGTTTTTGTAGGGCAAAATGTAAGTGCTAGTATGAATTTAAATATTCTTAAAATAAATCTAATAACCCGTTGGGTCGACCCGTACCTGATGACATTGGGTCATGAACATGTAGTTCTTAACCCGAATCCAATCTTACCCGAACCTGATATAACCCGAATTCGAAGTGATCGATCCCAAACCTGACCTAACTGACTGATCTGCTAGCTCTAGTTTTGGGCTTGCTGATATGAAATGTAGTGTCCATTACTTGTCTAAAATTAGTGAGCACTATATATTACTAGTAGTTCAAAAGGGCAGCAGGTTTACACAAGATGTCTTCCCTGTCACAATCTTTGTATGGAGGACAACGAAGTCATTGGATGAAATTTAAAATCAGATGTCATCGTAGTTTATTTTTTTACCTTGCATAGAAAACATCATGAGACAACGATAAGTAGAGATGTTTGCTACTTTGCTAGGTCTCCTTTCTGTCCAAATCACCAAAATAGATTCTCTTAAAAAATATATTTTCTGTAGAATGTAGATGTCACTTCTACCTTCTTTTCAATGATCTCCTTTCTTTTGCAAAGACTTTCATCGTCAAATACACATTTTAGTTACCTATATTTTCATAATTATTAACAACCTTAAGCAGCCCAACATTTTGTACTTTTGGCAGCATATTTAAAAAATGTTGTGCTCAACAACATTCATAAGGATTTCCTGTGTTAAGCATTTGATCGAGGGGGGAAGAGAATGCGAGTTATCACCATTTTCTCTATAAAGTTTTGAATTTTCTTTTCATGTTCTATATTTTCTAGGGAAAAGTTACGTTTGCTTAGTTTTCAAGAAGTACCTCCAGTTGGCTACCTTTTGGAAGGCCAGACCCAATTTCACATTGAAAAGTATTGAAATGCACATTTTAGCAGGAAAAATCAAATAGCTAATGAAACTATTAGCTATGTGTTTGAGTTTGTTAGTGATTCCATTATGATGTTTTACATTGCATTCAAATATATACTTTATGTATATATGTGCTCATGTATATTTGGAAGGGTCTTTTGCAAGTTTAATGCACAGTTGATGGTGTGGTGATTACTTTGCCCACAACTTACCATGTTATCTTATTCCATTCATTCTAGAAAGCTTTCTAGCTTGCACATAATTTTCATGCATATTTTCAGTTCCCAAATAACCCCTTGTGTATCATGACTCAGACCACTGTTACAACCACTAGGCGTGTGTTAGAGCGATTTGCTGTCCATTATGTCTCTCAACGCATGGCGTGGAAGCTCCTCAAAGGTACCTTTGATTGCTAGTGTTACATTTGGATCTTCTTCGTTGATTTACATGTCAATGAACACAACACATGCAGATGTTCCAAGGTCAGCTGCTCGCAAGGCAGGAAGAGGAATGCCAACTTTCTTCTACATATGTAGTGTTAGCAGAACAACATTCAGAGGTGATGGTTTTTCTTGTAGAATTTCTTGTTACTTGTACTTTCTTGTGCCTCTCAACATGTTCGCACATATGTTTTTAGAGTAAATTCCATAAATGATCCCTTATAACAGGTAGTTTTCCATATTTAGTCCCTAATTCTAAGATATTACATGTGTGGTCCTCAAATTATTGAAACTAATCGATATTTAGTAGTCCTTTAGGCCAACTATGACCAAATATTTTTTCCCACATATAGTCCCCAAAAGCTGATTATGGAATAGTTTTCAAAAATTGAAGACTGCAAATGTAATATATCTTATAATGGAATTTACATGCTCATTTTTTTTAATTTCTTGAAATTGCCCTGTTTGATTGATAAGGTTGTTGCCTCGGAGTTCTAGCATCGTTGATCGTCCAAGTTGGGGTAGATATGTACGGATTCTTTAAGTCAACGTCGGACAATGAGGAAAGACTTAGGCTGCTTGGGAAGAAGGTTTATAACACTACCCTCAGGTGTGCCGCGTCTCTTGTTTTAGCTTCTATTGGGGCCGGAATAGGAGCCGCATTCATTCAGCCCACAACTGGCCAGTGGATAGGTGAGTTTTTCGTTTGGTACTTAACTTACGGGGGTTATTGTTATATGAGAGAGAAATAAATAAAATAAAATAGTTTAAAATAATTTTAAAATAGAGATTGAAACCATATATGTTAAATTTGTGAATTTTGTGACTATTTTGTTTGTGAACCTAGCATTGCTCATTTGCATTGGACAAATCTAAACTTTCAGGATGCGCATTGGGAGATATTGCTGGACCTTACATTGTTGCTATGCTCTCAGACAAAGTTCATCTCCAGCTATAGTCCTTGTTTTATGCGCATATTTTTGTTTGCTGTTGTGATAGACAATAAGGCTGAATATTGATCGAGTTCGCACATTGTTTTATTCCTTACCTTGTGATAGACAAGAAGAAGGCTCAATATGGATGTAATTCTTTTTCGTTGAACTTTGCCCGTGTAATTTCAGCCTTCGGCATTGCTATTTGCTTACATGTTCCCATTGGCCATGTAATAAAATAGAACATCTCTTGTTTCGTATAAATGTTTTGATGTAATTTTTTAAATCCACAAAGTTTAGGTTCTAATTATGCACCAAATTTCAGATAAATTAAATTGACATCTTTTTTTTGGGATGAAGACAGCATATGATAATAAATGGAAAAATCTTTAGTACAGGCATTAACAATAATATCAATATTAATAACACTATTGTTGTTGTTTTTGTTGTTATTATTATTATTATTATTATTATTATTATTACTACTACTACTACTACTATTACTATTATTATTATCATTATTCTTATCATTATTACTATTAGGGTTTTGCTAAATTCACTCCCTTTATTATGGCTATATTTACTTCTTTTATATTAAATAGATTATTTTTTCTTAAAAAATCCATCTAAATTTTCTCTTTTGTAGTCTTAAGGGAAAAAAGATTATTTATTATAAATGGAGTCGAGTTGGAAAAAATAAGAGTAATACCCTTATGATTATGATCATGATTGTGACAACGATGATTATTGTTGTTGGAATAAAGTGTCCGGGGTTTTTTTAGAAATTCAAGTTATCCTTAGGCCTAGGATGTTGTGAAAAAAAAAACACTTATGAAAGAAAATTTAAGAACACAAGATTTAACATGGACTTGAATTCTAGAGAAAATTATAGGTCTTTATTTTTGTCAAGCCAAGCAAAAGTAATCTTTTCAAGGCATTAATAATAATATCAATATTAATAACATTATTATTACTATTACTATTATTATTATTATTATTATTATTATTATTATTATTATTATTATTATTATTATTATTATTATTATTATTATTATGTGATAGTCATTCAATATGCTATATATGTACACTAAAACTCTTTTTCAGCATTTTGCATGGTTTTAGTCAATTTTATTTGCTTGCATAAGATTGTTTTTGAATAATTGTCTAAGAAACTATTGTTTTTGTTTTTGCAAAAAATGTTATTTTTACAGTATGGAATGTATGGAACCCATGTACTCTTAAATCCAGAGATAGAGGAGGTCATTGTTGTTGGATTTATGAACCCTAGAGCCCAAACTATGTTTATGTATCTGAATATTTATCAAGGATAAAAGGTCCTAAAGAATGTTTATACATCTTGTGTATTTAGACATAGCTTTAGTCTATAGACTTAGTGCTCTAGTAGCATAGACTAGAACTACGATGTTCTGATTATGAGATTCTTACATTTATAGATGCTATGTCAAAAATATTCTTAGTCGGATGTTGTGATAATACAGATGTCATAATATACTAAGACTAACATGTATGAGATAAGATAGTCACATGTCATAGGCTATGGATATTGTGATATCTCAATCTATACGTAGGTACATATCTGTGATATGGTAGTAGACTGATCGACGATGAGAATTGTAATGCCCCAAAACACACTCTAAAAGTATTATTAAACTATTGTTCAATTAAATAAATTTGTTCTGATTAAAATCAATTATTGTTGAGCCTTGAAGATATTTGATATCCAAAATCATGACTGTGGATAAGCGTTGTAAAGATAAATCCAAAATACAGATTATATGTGTGGTCTTGATTAAAGACCAGAGTACAGACTCAAACTAAGATTTAATAAAAATTGTTGATTTGGACTCTTGAGATGATTTGTTGAAATAAATCATGAGATTAAATGATATGAATTGAATATGAGATCTTTTGAATAAAAGATTAATTAAATCAATTTTGACTCTGTCAAAGCCAAACACCCAAAATAAGGTGTCAGAAAGAGTATTACTAATAACTATAAAAAGTATACTGTTGTGTAGAGTTTCATTGTCTGATCGCAACGATAAAGTCAGAATTTAATTCGCCGAAAGTTGGAGCAAAAAGTGTATCCCGACTTGGACCAAATTAGTCCCAATTAGGGAAGATGTGTACAAACGACGCCTCCTCCTCCACAACGCGATTCACGATCTCGCAATGACTTAGAACCATGTCTTCTTCCTCACCTTCTCCACTACATAAGCATATATACCACAAGTCCCTCCATTCTTCACCAATCTTTTCCTTTCTTTCTCCTATTTTGTTCCTGAGAGTGAGAGAAGTGCAAAGGTGCTGTCCACATGGTGAGAGTTGTCAGAGTTGTGGTAATCCGCGCCGGAAGTTTCACCAGAAATTTTTCAAAATCTCCAATTTAGCCCGAGGTAAGCCCTTAGATATATCTAGTGATTAGAATGTTCACATATATCGTCTCTACGTTCATAAATGGTTGTTTGGTTGAATTTTGGGTTTGACATGCTTGAAGAACAAAAAATCATAATCCTTAAAATTGTTGTTAAAACATCAATTCAATGATACCAAAATGATCTATGAACTTTGGAGAACATTTCTATATAATTTAATTGAAGTCTGATAGCTAAAAATGATGTTTTGAAAATTGGCCCGAGATTGAAGGCGACACTATTCAAACCTCGCACAGGTACAATATCGAACTATCGCCAGACGATGACAAGGTACCTGAATGGTAGGCCATACCGTCGGTGACCGTATCTAACTATCGTCTCAACCAAGTTTCTCTGGCGGTACCAAGTACCAACCACCAGGCGGTACCCCATACAGTCTGAACGGTACTGAGGTACCGTGTGCGGAGGTGTCGTAACGGGTACTGTCTGATTAAGGAATTTTTCCACAAACCTGAATTTTGAACTATAAATTCTATTTTTGATACCATGCAATTAAAAATCAGTATGAATATCATTTCCAAACCAAATATTATGTTTTAATAAATTTAAGAATCTTATTTGATGCATGACGGTAAGCTACGATGTTAACACTCGATGCTAGGCCGCTATTTGTTAGTAAATACTATGATAATGATTATTATTAATTATTGATTGTGATAATCAAACCATGATAAAATAAACAATTTTTTGATCAAATGATGATGATAAGCAATCAACGTTACGTAGAAGAACTCTAAGATAAATCTCATGTGACTTAGTTAATTTGGGCCTAGCGGGTATAAAGTTTGGTAGCCTGGGTAAAAACTTTGTGATTATGATTTGTTAAGCTTCCACAATATTGAAAACTCCGTACTGTTTATATTATGAAAAAATGTTTTAAATTTTTACGATTACCAAGTTAATACTTTAGTCTGAAAGGGACTGCATACCTGGACGAATTAGGGTGTTACAAAAAGTGCATGAATTAGAGTGATGATGGTGATGATTTTTAGGTGAAGGAATGGGGGAGAGGATCGAATGAACCACATGGGAATTAGGGTGGAGTTTCCAAGGTCGCTTCGTAAATAAAAACTGACCTGAACGGTACGCACTTTTTCCACCAAACTATTTTGTATCGAAAACCGTTTGTGTTTCTCAAATCAGACGGTCAAAACTAGTATTATGATGTGATCAAATAATTTTTCTGAAGACTTTATATTTTTTCCAACTCCGATCTGTATTAATAATTAATTAATGAAATTATTCAATTCTAATAGGCCAAATTTCGGGGTGTTACAAGAAATATCACGGTGATATTCACAATATTTCACTCCTTCGGCCACCGCATATGTCTCCACCCAGATCTCTATTTGCTCCCACACGTGCCCCTAAAGAGTAGACCCTGGCCGTCGACACCTTAGTACAGACGGTGTATTCCTTCTTCTTCCTCCTCTTCTTCGTAGCTTATTATTATTATTATTATTACTCTTATTATTATTATTTATTATTATTATTATTATTACTCGTATTATTTATTATTATTATTATTATTATTATTATTATTATTATTATTATTGTCAAGCCACGATGGATATTAGGAGGGCAATGGGTAATGCCTAAATGGATGTGAGCGTACACATGCACAAGCATCCACCCAAAAAGTATCATATGGTGTTATCCAAAGTAACATCAAACTCCATTCTTCTTAAATGCAAATCCTTTCATCCCAACAAAAGGGGAACGTCTAAATAAAAAGAAACCCACCGCCCCTCAGCGCTAGGACAAGGTGAAGAACAGAACCACCCTCAATGTTATACTCTTTAGCCGTTTTGTCATCTGAAAGCTGCTTCCCAGCATAAATAAGCCTGCAAACAACGGGTCCAGGGAATTAGTTACAATTAAAACCACCGACCAAATTCAAATAATACAGAGTATTCTTTCATGCCGCTGGCGTTTTCCAACTCTTCTAATATGCCCCACTAAATTGAGTACTTTAACGAAATGTTTGGGAACTAGAATTTGGATTTCGAATCCGAATTTAGCTTCAAATTCCTTGTTTGGGAAAACTTGAAATTTTGGATTTGGATTTGAGGCAAATTCATTGCAAAGCTCAATTGCAAATCCATATGTCTCCCCTTGTCATTTAAAATCCAAGAATTCAAATTATGGAATTGGAATGAAATGCTAGTTCCCAAACACTACCATACATAATTTGAAAGCTTGCAAAAACAGCAAGAAGGAAAAAAACGAACCTTTGTTGCACAGGAGGAATTCCCTCTTTTTCTTCAACCCGCTCCTTGATCCGATCAATGGTGTCAGTAGGTTCAATATCAATCTCAATCTCCTTTCCGGTAAGAGTCTTAACCTTAATCATGGTTCCTCCCCTGAGTCTCAAAACCAGGTGAAGGGTTGATTCCTTTTGAATGTTGTAATCGGCCAGAGTCCTTCCATCTTCCAACTGCTTTCCTGCAAAAATCAGTCTTTGCTGATCCGGAGGGATGCCTTCTTTGTCCTGCCAGTAAAACATATCAAGGGACTTAATTTTAAGTTTATTTAAGTGTGTCTTAGTATTTGATACAGCAACTAGTGGAAGTATGTATCAGTGAAATTAGCTTCTGACATTAGCTACACTAAATAAAACACGTAACCCGAAGTACCAACTAAGGGTCCGTTCCCCTCAACTTATTTTTTCAGCTTATTACTTATTCTTATTAAAATGGGATCAGACCAAATCAGATCAGAAACAGCTTTAAATATAACGATAATCAGATCATGTCACACTAGATCTTCGAAAAATCAGATCACGCGAACAAAACACAACCTAAGGCTCAATTAAACAAGAGAAATCCAAATTTTCAAGTCCTATCTTCAGTAGACCACAAGAGCATGGACTCCACTTTAAAAGGGAAAGACAGAAAGCTGTTAAACTAAACCAGTACATAATCAAACTTCAGAAATGCACAGCAAGCAATCGAGTTTTGTTTTAAGTCAGAATAATAAGATACCCGTTCAAGATTAAGAAGGTTCAGATATGAATCCAAAGCCAATAAAAAAACAAAATCAAAATTTTGTATGCAGAGAATAGGCCGGAGTTGAAATTCGCACCTGAATCTTGGCCTTGACATTGTCGATGGTGTCACTACTCTCGACTTCGAGAGTAATTGTCTTTCCGGTTAGGGTTTTCACAAAGATCTGCATTACTGGAGTGCTTCAAATGCAGCACAACAAAGAACCCCAAAAAAATAAGAAGATTTAACTAGAGTAGTGAATATCTACTATATACATTTAATAGCATAATAGGGGAAATTAATTCTTTTCTGATCTAAAGTGAACAGAGCTTGTGATTACTCTATATCGCTGGATGTATAGATAAAAATGTATTAATAGCATATGAAAAGAATCATAAACTAAACACACCAAGTAAAAGTGCAATTTTTCTAATCCCAATTCACAATATCATAAAATAAACTAAGAGCCTCATTTTCATCATGTTATGACTTCAAAGTTTCAAACTAACATGATTTAACAAAGAGTTAAATGTACAAATAGTCCCTGTGGTCTTTCATAAGTAGGTATATAGTCCCTGTACTTTTAAAAGTTGCAAAATAGTCCCTGTGGTCAAAGAACTACTGCATAATTAGTCTCTTCCTTAAGGAAAACGTAAAGCGCACAAAACATAGATGTACTATGTGAAAATGTGAAGCATGTAACAAAAAAATTATCTCGTGAAATTGCCATCGTCTTCGTGGTTAAAGGCAATGAATGCTCTTTTTCTAGCTCTTTTCTCACACGATTTTACCTTAGAATAAAGCTACTTAAAAAATAGAATAATATCGAGCTTGCATACGACATTGTACTACGATTCAAGAATATCACTATAGAAGAGACGGAGAATTCGTTGTAAGAGTTAAACCAAAAGATGGAAGATATTGTACTATGGTTCAAAGTTACACATCACAATTAAAATTTTAGATTAGCTTTTTTTACTGCTACATGATTGATGTCTTTGCATAATTCGCGCGTGTTGTGTATATCTTATGAATTTTCTAATCTTGGGACTAATTATGCTATGGTTGTTTGACCACAGAGACTATTTGATAACTTTTAAAAGTTCGAGAACTATTTACCCACTTATGAAACACCACCGGGACTATATATGCATATAACTCTTTAATTATTTCCGGAAGGGATTATTTCATCATTTTTTCTGTTGTACACGTTTCAAGCACTTACACCCAAAACACATATCAGTAAAATCAATTCAAACAAAGAAAAAATTCAGTATAAAACCGTTGTCTTTTCTTTACTTTTGCTGTCTTTGCTTTGGGTGTTCTAATTAATCTTTTGCAAGATAAATGCAAGAAGACAAACTGAGAAATTCCTAGAAGTAGAACATGTAGGCAATGAGGATATGTGCAGCAACAAAAAATGTAGTCCGGCTATGTGTGGGGAAGAACAACATTGGCCAGCACATAGATGAAGACGCAAGTTTGAGAATTTACAGAAAATGGAACTAGGGTTTTTTATATTTATATATATTTTTTTGTTTTTTAAGGAGTATAAAACAGAAAAAGTTTATGAAGCATGGGCACAGTGCCACAATAACACAGCATCCCAAGATTTACGACACTGGACACAAAAAATAAATACAATCTAGAGCTAATGGTAAAATATCCTGATGTATTGGATACCTAATATATCATTGTGAATGGAAGATTGGCCTTCCAATAGGCTACGGTCATACGGGTTGTAAATTCACCCCACCCTTATTTAACTCCACTTTTTTCTAAATTATTTTTAATCTCATGCTCCAAGCAGACTTATATACATTCTAAAAATTTTAAGGGTTGGTAAAATTATATTTTATCAAAAAAATGATATATTTTTCTGATAAATATATGGCACATGTTAAACTTTTTTCATTATTAGATATGATATCTTTTTTGAAATAAAACTTGTAGTTTTAATTGTGATGCACATTTATTAACATTTAAACAAATATTTATTTTTGGGAAGTAATAAAAGGAAAAATGGTGAGTAGTTTTAAAATTTTATACTATAAAGATTTGTTTTTTAAAAATTAATAAAACTTATATAACCTTCTACATGATTAAATGGTGAAAGGCATATTGGCATAATACTTAAAAAATGAAAAGTTTATCCAAAATTCATGGTCATTGAGTACACTACTAATGAAAGTTAATTTAATGTATTAAAAATTGAAATATTAGATGCTAAAGTTTTAAAATTGAAATTTTTCCATCATCTCGTATGGAACCAAAAGTTTAATATTTTTTTGACTTTGGGGTGTGATGGAATAAAGCAAAATAGATCTCTAAATTGTCTACGCTGAGCCGAGGGTCTCTTCAGAAACAGCCTCTCTAGTTTCGAGTAGGGGTATGGTCTGTGTACACACACCCTCCCTAGACCCTACTCTAGTGGGATTCAACTAGGTAGGTTGTTGTTGTATTTACAGAAAAGTCTGAAAAGTGATCAAATGAAATAAAAAGTGGATAGTTTTAAAAAATTAAATACAATACTGTTTTTTAAATTAATAAAGTATATACAGAGTAATTTTTTAAATAATAACATAATCAAGCATTACAGAGTGTATTCAGTATTTTGGAGGGTGTGGCTATCACTACCCATAGGATACATATGCAGACTTAAAAATTGCATTCTAGCTAAATAAGCAGCATAAAAAACTAAGGCCACCATATTCCTTATGAATTGAATCAGTTGATTCATTGCTTACCTACAACCAAAGTATATATGCTTCAAAATTAATTAAACCAAGGTTCATACTCCACAACAATTTGAGCTATGTCTAAAACGACCTCACAATCCCAATGAATATCGCATCAAATAACATGATCTAGTATATAAGCAAATACACCGACAACAATAAGTGCAAAAACATTTTTTAAATTAAATGAGTTAGAATTTTGATTTCATTTAAGAAAATTAAATTTGATATAATAAAAAACATAGAAATTCTGTTAGAATTTAGGATGAGGCAATCGATTAGTTCAACTCAAGAGCTTATATACTGATTTTTTTTCTATTCAACTTCTGATGTGGGATAGACTGACAAATTTCAAGCATCATACAAGTTGGATCAAATTAAAAAAGAGATGTTAATTTTTTAATATTTTAAACCTAAGTTGCGTCAAGACGAAGTGGGGTACTTATACAGGGACGGGGTGAAAATGCCAATTGTGCCAACATTTATACTCTATAAATGATTTGGATGTTGGGAATTGGGACTTACCCAAATACCAGGGACGTTTCGAGGACAAGGAGCAGCACTTATTTGAAGAATCTATGCAAAAAAGTCAATACAGAATCAAATTTATGCGCACAAAAAAAAACATGTATTCAACAGTGGCCTGGAATCATTAAAGCCAAGTTAAATTTTTTATTTTGTGAAAAAAAAAGAACGGATAAAAGCACCAAATTTCGGGGCTTAAGATCTCTTCGAACAGATCTTTGACAAAAAAATGATTTTACTAGGGAAAAAACTGCACAGATCTCTACGCACATACAATACTAACAATTTCATATGCTCAGTATTCCGCAGTATGTAAGGAAGGGTAAGAAGTTACTTGCAACGAAGCTACAAAAGATGGCTGAGGCGTGTCTGATAGGAAAGAAGAAGAAGGCGACGAAGAAGATATCGCGAGACCGCAAGGAAGAGAAAGGCAATAGCAATTCTGAAAGGCTGAAATAAGAAATCCACCCTTGGGAATTGATGCTAGTCTCAAAAAGCATTTCGGACCTAGAAAAAATGGAATTCTATACTACATCTTTTCAAATAGGCCGTTGATAAAAAATAATCCGTATTTCCTTAAAAAAAATTCAGTATTTAAAAAATTGCAAAAATATTTCAAAAACTAAAGATGTTAGTAATTTTATGAGAAAAGTACACCGTTTATCCCAGAAAATTACTCACGGGTGACGCGAGTTTTGTTGAAATAACTCTCAGGTCCCTCTATTTTCAAGAAGACAGCAGATGTCCTTACATTTTGTTGTAATGACTGGAAGGAGACATTTAATCCAATATTTCATTTATAAACGTTAATAAATGTATTTTTTTTCCTATTCTTTTTTAAATGTTTTAAGGTAATAAATCTTAGGTCGCTCCTTTTTTTATTTCTTTGTTTTTTTTTTCATTTTGTTACTATTTTTAAAGTGTTATTTTAGAATTTCTTCTATAAAATCGTATAAAAATTCAAAATTGTTTGTATTATATTAAAACAAATGAAATAAAAAAATTTTAAAAAAAGAAAAAACAAGGTAATGGCAAAATAAGAAAAAACGGTATTGGAAAATAGGAAAAAAATACATTTATTAACACTTACGGATGATGTATTCGATGAAATGTCTCCTCCTAGTCATTACAACAAAATATAAGGACTTCGATTGTCTTTTTGAAAATAAAGGGATCTGAAAGTTATTTCGACAAAACTCGTGTCACCCGCGAGTAATTTTCTGCCATTTATCCTTTAATAAGAATTGTATTGTTTACCTTTGAACATTAAAAAGTGTACCTTTTATCCTTGAACTTTTTAGAAATTACATGATTTACCTCTAATTATTAAAAAGTGTATCAAATATCCCTGAACAACTTAAAATGTTGTACCATTGCTCCTAAAATATTAGATAAGGAATCCATTGTTCCCACGTGTGGAAATTGGAAGTATGATTCATCAGGCACTTGTGAATTTTCTAAATTACCCTTCCAAAAACTTATTGTCTTGATTTAAATATTAAGGGGTATTTTGTGCATTTTTTAATGTTTAGGGGTAAATTGTATAATTTCTAAAGAATTTGGGGTTATTTGGTTCACTTTTTAATGTTTAAGGTAAATCGTGTTATATCCGAATAATTCACGGGTAAATGATGCACTTTTTCTCGTAATTTTACATTAAAATTATGACATTAGAATTGGCGACTTCAATTTCAATTTTATCGTTTGATAATACAAAAATATATCGATATGGAATTGAGTTATTATATTTCTAAATTTTCCAATTCTTTTTTTTCCAGTTTCATAACACAACAAAAGAATTTAAAATCTTGAATTTAAATTCTAATCTCAAAATAAAATCACTTGGGTCCTTTCAGATCATAACAAAGAAGCGGGTTTTAATAACTTTTTGACAAACATTTGAATTCTTTGACACACTTTGACTTCTTTCACCAATTGAATAAGCCAAATAAAAATAACAAATTAGAAATTTTAAAAACTTAAAACTTAAAATCAACAATCTAAAATTATAAATTTTTAAATTCAAAAATAAAAATTTATAATTTAAAATTTAAAAACTAGACTATACTAAATAAAAATAAAAAATAAAAATTTAAAACTAAAAAATAAATACTAAAAATTTGAAATTTTGAAATTAAAATTGAAATTTCCACCCTTAAAATTTAAAATTTAGAACTCATAATTTAATATTTAAAACAAAAACTAAAAACAAAAGTTAAAATTTTAAAATTAAAAATTAAAAATATGAAATTTTTAATTTAAAAGTAAAAAACTAAAAAATAAAAATTTAAAAGTGAAAAGTTTAATTAAAAACTACTAAGTAGAGATTAAAAATTCAAAACAAAAAATTTAAATTTAGGAATTCTAAATTTAAAAATTAAAATATAAAATTAATAATTATTAAATAAAAATTAAAAATAAATAACTAAACCCAGCGCCACCCAATTTTAAAACATTAGAGTTTCACATGCAAGGCTCAGAAAAGATTACACGTGGACGTGAGGGGGCGTGTGAGAATATAAAAAACTTTTTTCTGAGCCAGAATCACAAGCTTGAGATGTTGGTTGCGTTAGTTCCTTGACATGTTACTAGAGTAATTTTCATTTCAAAAATACAAAAAAATAGAATAATAAAAATAATATGCATTCCTCTAATGAAATCAAACAAAGTGATATGTTTAGTTTGAGGTGCATGAAATATATGTTAATTTTTTAATTCATTTATTTTTTTAGTTTAGATATTAACAATTTTGTATTTTGGAAACTATTATATAAACATATTTCTTTTGAAAACTAGTTTCTTTTCTAAATAAAAGTTGTGTTAAAGGCAAGAGGAAGTAAGATCAATTAAAATGGGGGGTTTTGGGGGGCGTCGTTGTTGATCAATTTTTCAACATAAAACTTAAATCATGAATTGTTGGAACACACTTTGCACGTTTAACTAAAGTCGTGTTCATTTCTGACAGGTTTTGATAATTGCCAAACCGCCATGGATATAAAGAGTTTCGTTGAATAACTCAAGGCGCGAAGAATGGCATGGAACAAGACCCAAAAGACTCAAGGACAAGATCAAGAATTGAAGACTTAGTCGAGTCGGTCTTTTGTGATCAAAACCGACAATCAATTCCAAGTCTCAGTTCTCAAAGAGTCAAAATAATTTTACAAAATCATAAAATATTTTTGTGCATCAAAATAAACATTTTTGATAATTTTTTTTTGTTAAAATACCTGGTCCTTGCTCAGAACCAAAATCACCTAAGTCGGCGTACGGTGTTCGGCGTTCGGTTTTTTGGCGCCCGAACCAACTCGATGGTTTTCTATGTTTTAAACCTTGTTTTTATCTCTGAGCATATTTAAAAGGTTCCCAAATAATTATTTCATAAAAACCACTTTTGTATCTTGGTCAATCAGTCTAACACGTGAGAAACGGTCAAAACCGTACACACGTGATTTACAACCTTGGAGACTTGGTTTTTTACAAAACAAGTCTTGGTTTCACTATTTTATACCATATACAATGTTTTTCAAACTTGGTTTTTACTTTTGGGAACACTTCGTTTTTGGACCTCGGTTTTTCAAAACAGGGTTTCAGCTGGCTAGACTTTAGCTGGGTGATAATCGATTATCACCTTAGTGACAATCTACTATCAGCCCCTGGAGCTTTGGAACTCCAAAGTTCTAAAGCACGCAATAATCGATTATCACTTATGCAATAATCGATTATCAACCTGTGCAGCCAAAACCCAGAAACTTCTAAGAGGACCAATAATCGATTATCACCTGTTGGCAATCGATTATCTGGGTTACCGTTGTCCTCCAACGGATAGAATTTTAAATTTTTGGACAAGGAATCTTTTGATAATCGATTATCAAGCCTGGATAATCGACTATCAGCATGTGTCTCTGAAAAATTTGTCTTCATCCTGTTGGAAATTCTAGCAACAGATTTATCCCATTTTGGGCTATAAAATGGCACCCAAATCCTCTCATTTTTCACACAATTCTTCAACATTTTCAATACTCTTTCATTACATAAACATTCCTATTTTTCTAAGCTATTTGAGAGCCAATTCTTGAAGAAATTGTCGTGTTCTTGAGCGTATACTAGTTCACTCATATCTACTCTTTGTGAGAGTTTTATTCCTGAATGTTTAAGTGTTTTCATACACTTTAAGGGAGGTTGCTCCCTTGTTGTAAACTCGAAGGAAGTTCTTTGTTCCTTCGTGAGAAGTCTTGGAGTGCGGTATCTCCGAGCAAAGGCATTGAGGCTCGTGTGACTCGAGTTCTCAAGTTGTATCGGTTTGTTGAGCACCCTTAAGCTTAACGGAGTTAGTGTAGCTCGAGAGAGTCTCTCGGGAGGCTGGATTAGCCACACGTTGTGGTGAACCAGGATAAAATTCGGTGTGCTCCTTCCTTACGCTCTTTACTTTATCGCTCTCGTTTTTAATTTCCTGCGATTTTGTTTTAAACGCTATTCACCCCCCTCTAGCGTTGGGCCTTTATTCTAACAATTGGTATCGGAGCCTTACTCTCTGTAAGACTTAACCGTTTGAGATAAACGATCAATGGCTTCTACTCAAAGTTCATACGCAGGTTTAGGTGAAGGGCAATCCACCACAAGGCCTCCATTGTTTGACGGAACGAACTACACCTATTGGAAGGAGCGGATGAGGATTTACATCCAATCCACCAACTTTCTCCTTTGGAGAATTATCAAGAATGGTGAAGACGTGCCAATGAAGAAGGTCGGGGAAACCAACGTTCCTAAGACCGAGAA